TATAATATACTTCCTCTGATTGCAGTTTTCATTGTAATTTTTTGGCCCTGATTTCCCTGCTACCACAAGATGATGTGAAGATTGCCCCATCATCAGTTTTGGCACATATGTGGACACTTATTAATAATAATCACTACTGATTATTTTGCATTTTTAAATTTTTTATTACATTTATTTATTTATATGTGTGTGTATGTGGGCACGAGCCAGGGGGCATATGTATATGGAGGTCAGAGGACAACATTTGGGAGTCAATTCTTGCCTTCTACCACAAGTTCCAGGGACTGAGCTCAGGTTGCCAAGCTTGTACAAACACTTTTAATGATTGCAACATCTCACTGTCCTTGGCTTAATATGTTTAACAAGAACCTATCTATTTTGGAAGTACCACTTACTGTCAATCTCTTTTTGACCTTGTTTCTTTTATATAAAATGGGCACAATAATGTTTCTCTCATTTGGAAGATCTGAGTCTTAAGTACAGGATTTGGTAAAGTATTTTGAACAGTTAGCATGGGAAAGGCCCCTAGCACCTGCCTAACAGTTACATTTTTTCCTCATATGTATGTATGTGTGGCACGCATGTGTGTATGTTTGTGTATGTCTATGTGGGTACATGTGAGCATATGTTCTGAATGCAAGTGGAGGTTGACGTTAGTATCTTCCCCAATCACTGTCCACTCTAGATATTAAGGTAAGGTCCTTCACTAAATCCAGAGTTCAGCTTCTCAGCTAATCTAGCTAGTCAGCATGCTCCAGGGATTTCTGGTTTCCACCTCCCACATGCTGTGATTGCTGGAGGGTTCCATCCCCACCTGGCTTTTATGTAGGTTTGGAGGATAAAATCTCCTTGTCTTTGTGCTTGCTTGGCAGCACTTTACCTGCTAAGATAGCTCCCCAGCCCCTCACAGTTATGTTCTCCACAAGGCGTTCTTTCTTTTCAGAGTCTGTTATCAGCTCATATTTTCAGATCTCTATTGATTTTAGGGACTCGTAATTATGCTTGAGATAGTCTTCATTTAGCAAATATTTCTGTCTTGGAAAATAGGTGAATACTGGATTGATCCCAACCAGGGATCAACTGAAGATGCAATTAAAGTTTACTGCAATATGGAAACAGGAGAGACGTGTATTTCAGCAAATCCAGCCAGTGTGCCACTTAAAACCTGGTGGGCCAGCAAATCTCCTGACAATAAACCCGTGTGGTATGGCCTTGATATGAACAGAGGATCTCAGGTGATTTGATGTGGTTACTCAGAATTATATTCTTTACATTTTTGTTTTTATTATATTTCTGTATTTATTTAAAACTCTGCTATTATTGTTTCACCAGGCTTACTTTTACTATATTAGCTTTTAAATGATATGCTTACATTAGGAAGACTTGCAATAGCTTTGCATAAACAAAGTTTTACCATGAGTTAGGTTAATAGAAATTTTTGCATTATAATTTTCCTTTTAGTGGAATGTAGAGAAATAATATTTAATAGTGGTTTCTTTAACTCTGGAATATACAGGAAGCAGTCTTATCTCAGCTGACAGACAGTCATGTTTAGTTCAGGAGACCTGGGTCTCAACCAGACATTTTACTGATGGTGACTTATGAAATGACCATAACTTTAAGAAGATCATTTTTCCTAGTTTAAAATAAGGGTGGTAAATGACCCTCTATTCTCTATGACTATAACTCCTTAGTGTAGTGTCTAGAAGAAAGTAAAAGGTATGTATCAAAAAACACTTTTATTTAAGCTTTTTGAGACAGGATCTCCAGGTTCCCAGGCTTCTAGCTGGGCTGGAACTCACTATGCCTGCCTCTGCCTCCCAAGTGCTGAGATTAAAGACATGCACCATTTTTTTTTCTTGAGACAGGCCCTTTCTATAGTCCCAGCTGGATTGGAACTTACTCACTTTGTAGATCAGGCTGGCCTTGGTCTCACAGAGATTTGAATCCTGAGTGCTGGGATTAAAAAGGCATGCATCACCAGGCCTGGCCAGATGCAGTTTTAAAATAATAGAATCACTTTTTAACATTTTAAGTGTTATTTAAACTTATGACATTTTAAAATCATATGGTTTCTGTTAGCATTTTCCTAAGGTCCAGTCTACGGTATATTTCTACCATGGTCCAGTACTCTTCATCTCATCAGACCTTGGGGGTTCCTGCTCGCAATATCAGTATTTCATACCAACTTGTTTTCTCTGCTCCTAACCCTGCACCAGAGCTCAAACTGAAAAAAAAATATGATATGAAAGCATTATGGGTCTTTCTAAGATAATCTAGTATCTTCCATTATTTAATGAACGTGAAATTTTAAATAGTTGAAATTTAGTTTAACAAAAATGAGGTTAAGCCAGAAATGCCAAACAGCATTTAAAACAAAACCCAAACTGAAGATGAATGGAAAAGAGCTGGTTGCAAATGATTTTGATAACTTGATTGATACTTCTGACGTGTATGAAGCTATTTGGTAAAAATATTTATATGAACACTGAATTCTGAATTTTTATTCTAGTTAGTGATAAAGATGAGTTGTATTTGATATGTGATTGAAACAGATTTTAAGATTTTTAATTTTCCCTGGCAAATTACAATTGTTATTGGTTTTGTCACCTCTTATTTGGAATAACAAGGATACAAGTTCTTGTGACTCTGGAAAGACATTTGAAAATAGTTTTCTTTGTTTAGATAAAATATCTTATTATATGAAAACAAAGTAATATTCTTCAGAATTGATTTATCAATTATCAGTTTATCATCTATCCATTATTTATCTATTCATAAGGCACTATGAAGACGTTGAGTATTTCATATAACATAGATATGCTTTGTTTTTCTAGTTTACTTATGGGGATTACCAGTCACCTAACACAGCTATTACTCAGATGACCTTCTTGCGCCTTTTATCAAAAGAAGCCTCCCAGAACATTACTTACATCTGTAAGAACACCGTAGGATACATGGATGATCAAGCCAAGAATCTCAAGAAAGCTGTGATTCTTAAAGGGTCAAATGACTTAGAAATCAAAGGAGAAGGAAACATTAGATTCAGATACACAGTTCTTCATGATTCTTGCTCTGTGAGTACTTTTGAATTATATTCTTCTGAAACTTTGTTCCTTGAGTAAACTATTTTAAGTTAGTGAATCTCAGATCCGTGTACATACCTACAGGATTCTGAAATAATCACTGGCTTGTATGTGAATCCTAGATATGAAGTAAGAAAAATATTGAGTAATGAATTATAGTTCAATTTATGTGAAACAAAAATTTCATCATTTATGTTATTTTGGAAGCTGCAAGAGCAAATGGAATTTACTCAGAAAGAAATGCCTGCCATGCATGCTAATACCTCTCTCACCAGTGCTGTAAACATCATTGCTTTTATATTAAGGTGCCTTGGGAAATTTTGCACAAAATTCTTGGGAAAAGAAACCAAATTTGTATATAATATTGACCCATTGCTCTATTTAATTCCAGAAGCGAAACGGAAATGTGGGGAAGACTGTCTTCGAATACAGAACACAGAATGTGGCACGCTTACCCATAATAGATCTTGCTCCTGTGGATATTGGCAGCACAGACCAGGAATTTGGCGTTGAAATTGGGCCGGTTTGTTACATGTAACAGAACCCTATAAACATCAACAGTAAGCACCACCATCAATGACCACCACCGTTCACAAGAACTTTGACTGTTTGAAGTTGATCCTGAGACTCTTGAAGTAATGGCTGGTCCCGCATCAGCCCTGTATATGTGGTCTGAAGTGCCTGGCCTCCTTATCCTCCAGAATATTTATTTTACTTATAAGCCTCAAGTTTTAATTGACTTAAAATATTTTTTCAACATGGAAGTTTAGATTGAAGACAACCAATGACAGTGACCAACCGCCTTTACAAAAGAAGTAAACTTATTAAAAAATGAATATGTTTTCTTCAATTCATTTCAATGTAATAAATAAGTTGCTTAGTATTTATGAGGGAATTCTTCTTAGCAGGTAGCTTAAAGAGTGGGGTATATAAAACCACAGCACATGTTTATTTTGCTTGGCTGTAGTCTGACAAGTAGAAAGCAGTACCCTCTGTGACCTCTATCTCAGATTAGCAATGAAAAATGAACTCAAAATGTTTTTTGTGGCTGAAGCTCACGTGCATGTCTTGATAATGTACTACCATTATAGAGATTCTTTATAATATACCATTATAGAGAATCTTTATAATATTCTAGCTTCACACTATCTTAAATAAAATCTTTAAATAATATAATCAATGGAACTTCAAGAGAAAAAAAACTGAAATGTTTTCAACTCTGTTTTTTTAAAAGACTGATCTATTTAGAATTTTTTCTCTGAATTTAAGAGTAACTTTTACCCTTTTGACATAATCTATCAACACAGATAGAAATTATATTTGATACATTTGTGTTTTTTCTTATTTAAGAAAACACCAATCACAAAAAATTATTAATGTATGTATAATATAGGCCCAGGATCCAAAGTTGAGACTCTCCCAAATGTACAATCTTATAGTCCTTGAAGCCTATAATGAAGAAAATATCTAGAAACCCAGAGCTCTGGTGCTTACTAAAATCAAGAGTAAGGTTTAGAATTACTCATTCGGCTTTCGAACTTTCATAGGAAAATATGACCCACCATTTCTTAGCAGAGCTACCTCATCTCTCAAACTGGGATGGACTTGCTATTCTTGTTTATACTCTAAGCATTGAAAGGTGCTATGCTTCTGTTATAATTCCAAGACTGGAGATAGGCAGGGCTAAAAACTCTTATTTTTTTTCTTTAATGATGGTGCTAAAGTTCTTTCTACATGATTCTTTAAAATAAAGATTGTTTCATCAATGCCATTTGTGAACACAGAACTGTTAAATGTCCCATTTCTGAAAGGAAGAGTGTTGTTCCAGGGCCTTTCCACTGCTCCTCCCACACTGCGTCTGGAATGCTTTGTAATCCTTGCATGTTTCTTAATCCAGAACACTTAGGTCCCTTGTGTCTCAAGGCATTTTTTCCCCTTAATTGCATTTGTTGGCTCCATTGTTATTTCTGACTTAAAAATAAATAGCTCGGCCATCCCAAAAGAAAAGCCATGCACACTACTTTGGTCATGTATCTCTGCAAAACATGAAATTAAATGCACGCTTTTGTCATGTCAGTTGTTTTCATTTTGTGGATTCCTTTGAATACACTAGTTCCTTTGAGTTTCCTATAGGAAAAACTAAAATATTGTGATTTTTATTAACCATTGTTTTTAGAAAATATAACAAATGCTTTTCATCATGTCTGTACTAGCTTACAGATGAAAATCTATCTGTGACAACTGTCCACGAAGGCATGATGACATTAATGATTCCAGTCCAGGCCTCAGGAAAAAACAGAACACTAACTGATAAGAGCGAAGTAAATGAAAATTCCATGGTTGAACAAACAGATAATAAAACATATATTAATGTGCATTGAGTCCAAGCTGTGTATGTTGCAGAAGTTGAGGTAGATATGCCAGAAAGATCTATTTATTTATTCTATTACATAAAAACAGTAATACTTTCCAACAATAGAAATACATGTTTTTATTTGAAGTTCAGGGATGCTGCAAATGAGAGTCCATCCAGAGTGGTCCAAAGCCTTCAAGTCTCCTCCCTGTATTCTAGGTCTCAACTTTTTTACCTTCATGACCTAAAAGCACCTCAGAATCCAGAGGGTTGAAAGTGAAATAATCTGTATTGGGAGGATGGTGGCACTTAATTTACTAAAAATACAAATAAAAAATATCCCAAATTAGTTTGAAAAAGCAAAACAAAGCACAAATAGCAAAGGCAATGCAAGCAAAGCTGAATAATTCCCGGACTCACAAACTTAATTTGCTAAATTCTGGCTATGTTCCTATGTTCCAAATTTAAAAGAGAATCAAGGAAATTATAAAAGCTTCCTTTCCTACAAAAATATCACCTATCAGAAAACTCTGGGAAAAAAATCTGGAAAAAGCAATAACTAGGAACTATCACATTTATGAAGCCCTATCCCACACTATCTCAAGACAACTTTTCCTTTCATATTATAAAGATTTCAGGACAAAGAACAGTCAGAAAAATAAAAAGTTTTGTAGATGAACAGTGACGACATAGGCAATGATCTAAGGGAAGCCTATAGAGCATGGGCCATGTGTGTAAGTTGATTTTATTTATTAATCAAAATGGCAGTCTCCTTCAGAAGCATATTTTCTTTTCTTCTTCCTTCTCTGTCAATGAGCCATTTTCTCCAGTTACTTAAATATTTTTTCCCAAGGCTCAGTATTCTCTTTGCCTTCACACTCAGTACTGTCACCCACTTTTATCTATGGCCATGCCTTTAATTTGCATCTGTGTGTCCACTGCCTTAAGTGAAAGCCTCAACACCCAATATCTCCTTGGAATTTGAGAAATGCCAGTTGACAGCCCTAATCTTTCAAAGGGCTGTTCAGTGCCTCTTCCTAACAAGGTCTTCCCAAACTTCTCCCTCCTCACTACACCCTAGGTTACATAAATTCCCATCCCGTGAATTTTCTTAGCACTCTGTACTTTTAAGAAAAAACTTGTGATGTTTTATGAAATTGATGATTATTTAGATATTAGAAGTCTTTTCTACTGATTTGCTAAAAAAAAGGGGGGGGGCTTATTTAGAGAGAACTCTTTTTTAAAAGTTTATCACAAATTCATTGAACGAATGATAAAAATTATGAGTGCATTTTCCTGGATACAACGTCTATATTAAACCTCACCTGCCCATGACTCAGGGACCATTCAGGAGAGAGAGCAGAAAGAGAGTCAAGGTTGGTGCATGAACATAAGGAAACAGAGGCTTTTAGGCCTCTGGGAACTTGCTCATAAGAACTTGCATTGATGGTGACAGCATGCACAAGACCCATGCCAACTCAATTAGACAAATACCTGGCATAGAACTGGGGAAATGGGCAGTAAGCCCCAACCCTAGCTGAGAAACTATTGGCAACTAATAACTGCAGGATGAGGGAGAGTAGAACTTTAAGGGAGTAATTCTGTATAGGTGACCAGACTCGATGAACTTACACCAAGGGATGACTGGGTACAAATACTTGACCAGATAGATTTAACATATGACAGGACGTATGAAATCTGTGGGAGAGGCTATGGGGGGGGCACAGATGGAGGAGTGGTCTAAATTTTATTAAGATCTATTATATAAAATGCACAAAACTCAATAAAATATTTTTAAAATTTATACTATACAATTGTAAAGTGCATTTTAGAGAATGCTCTTAATTTATGTACTATTCATGCTTTTTTTTTTTAGCAACATTACTGTTTCTATTAGTGTTATCTGGCAGAAAATATAATAGAAATTATTTTGTCTAGTGGCAAAAGTAACAGAAAATTAATGTTCAAAAGTTAATTGAGCCAAACTGTAACATTATAATGAGATAAATAAAACTATGGGTAAGCTTGACTTATACTCCCATATGGGAAACCAATACTTGGAAAAATATAATTCATTTTCCTAAATTACTACAGAAATCCAGTCCCATGAGGCCTTTAAAATATGAAACATGACAAAGTAATTCTAAAGCTCTTTGGAGTGAAAAAAAAAATGGAAGGGAAGTGCTAAGATGTCTTCCCCAACAATGATGAGCCAAGGTGAGGAACTGGCTCTGCTAGAACTCCAAAACATAAATGAAAAAGGAATATTTAGAAATGGATCTGTGCGTCTACATTAGAATTTAACATATAATTATTGGCTTCAATTTATTCAGTAAATGCTATTAGACTAACAGATAGTTCTCATTTGAGAGCATATTTCTTTTCTTTAAAAAAGTTTATTATTTTTATTTTATGTGTATGAGTGCATGTGTGTAAGTGCATCCATGTCATGCAATGCCCTCAGAGATCAGAAGAAGGCATCAGATTTCCTGGAACTGGAGTTGCAGACTGTTGTTAGCCACCATGTGGGTGCTGGGTTTTGGAACCTGAGTCCTCTGCAAGAGCAGCAAGTGCTCTTAATTGCTGAAGCATCTCTCCAGCACCAGCCTTTCTAAATCTTATACCAAAAGTTTCAAATGGACTGAATACTTCATTTCTGAAGACCTGTAAGTGCATTAGCATAAGAATTACTGAATAGTTTAATAATCTTGGCATGGTAGCGAGAACAGAAACTAATAAAATGAACACTGAAGAAATAAATTCCAAATTATACTTTTAATGTGCATTATGTGACTCTCATTAATTGTCCTTAAAGTATGTCCAAACTGAGAAAAAAATTGTGATAAATAAAATACAAAGGTTTAATGCAGTTTATTTTAAAGAAAACACAATATAAATTTCCAAAATATGGAAAATATTCTATATGTAATCTATACAGTCACAGTGAGAAGGCCAGGAAACCAACCTGTGGAAGATTCTTGATCTCACAAATAAAAACAATAGAAATAATATCAAATTCTATCAGAATTTGTAGTGTATGTTTGGTACTAATAATACCTGATAGCAGATGCAGGAGAATGCTCGTAAATATGTTCTGTCTGCTTTGTCCATTGGATTGCAGACAGCATAAAATCATCCTCTCAGATTGTTTTATTCATACATATTAGAAGGTGTGGGGAGGGGAAGGGGAGTCAGAAGTAAGCCAGGGATAAGGAAAAAGTGGACTAGATTATTGTGGCCTCTGGAGCTCTTAATTTTATTTGATGTCAAGTTACTTTAGGCATAGTTTTGAAAAAAGTAATATAGTTACATATATAAAATATAGTTGAACCCAAAATTCCCATGACAAAATGAATGTGCAATAATGGAAGACTATAGCCTAAGTAACAGAGGTGGGCACATATTGATGTTTAAGCTTTGGTATATAAAATAATTTACCAACTGATACTACAAAAAGTCATTCTATGCTTTCTATACTGTTTTTATCATTAAGTTGGTAAAACTATACAACATACCACTAAATTGAAAAAACACATATTATGAAACACATATAATGAGGGAATAATGCAGGGAAACTAGAAGACAGGACCTAGCCATGTAAAATAGACTGGAATTTGAAGAGGAGAGGGGGCAGAAGAGCAACTTCAAAAGTGCTTTTCCTTAATGAATCTTGAAGGGTAAATAAAGACAGTGTTTTGAGTAATGAAGAAAGTATGCCAGATGGACAAAGATATAAAGTTCTTAAATGTTTGGTGTGCTTGAAAAATCCCTACCAGACTGGCATGGCAGTAGAGAACATGGAAGGGGTTGAAAGGAGACACAGAGAAGTAGGGATATGTGTCATAAATGAATATATGTGTAAAGCTAAAAATGGTGAAAATATTCTGAAGTCGTTTTCAGGAAACTGGTTCTCAGTTGAGAGTACAAGCACACCCACTAGAGGCCTCCAGAAATGAATGGGAAGAAAGCTGGAAGTTATCACTGGCAAATACTTTACATGCAAAGCACATGCAAAGCAATCCCTCCAAACAAACCACCAAAATGCACATGTAAAGAATCCCTACAAACAAACCACCAAAAATATGTCAATAGAACTTTCACTGCAAAATGCTGAGCCATTTTAGGCAGGTAAGATAAGACACATAACGGTGATTTGCACGTGAGCAAGGTCTCCTTGGCAGTAATACTCAGGAAGAATTTTCAATGATCCTGAAAAATCATTACTAAGAACGATATTTGAGAAAAGAAATAGGGAATGAAAAGTCAGTGACATGTCAGCTAGCAAAAGAGAGATGCATCTGGGAGATATTTAAGAAGCAGAATCAAAGAATCTGATGAAAGTGAGGACATAAGGGAATGCAGCTTTTGTGAATGTTCATTAATTTCTGATTAAGTTAGCTGGCAGGAAGGTGACACTGTATGTGAGACAGAGAACAGAGAAGGAGGCCTGATGAGGATGTGCATGCTGTGTTCTTTGGAGCATCAGCCTGGAGGTAAGTCAGAGATATATGTAAAGATAACTGACAATCATGATATAGTAGTTGGAGCGGTGGATGTGAATGGAATCACTCACAAAGGCTTTAAGAGGACAGTTGGCCAAAAGGAAGAGATCAGAGATAGGGATGGGAAAGGGGGGAGAGAAGAGGGAATGGGAAGAGGGAGAAGGAAAGAGAGAGAGAGAAAGAAGAGAAAGAGAATGAGAGAATGTAATCTAAGTACATAT